TAAACGAGAGTTGGCAAAGGATTCTGAATTAAGATCACAGAGTTGGGAAAGGTTTTTGCCACAGTTCAAGCACAAAAATGTGAATAAACGCAAGGAACCAAAGAAAAAAACTGCTAAGAAGGAGTATACACCATTCCCACCACCACAGCCAGAGAGTCAGGTCAGTATGAAGTGTTGAATTTTTTTTACATGAGGTGTAAACTTTTAATCTATTTTTTCAGAAGCTTTATTGAGGGTATTTTAAGTGGAATTTGTGTGTCTGTGTGTTTAGGTGTGTAGAGACCTAAGAAACTGAAAGTAAGTGCATGGAGGCTTATTTGGAGCCAGTGCGTGGGGTGGGGGCAGGGACCTCACAGGGGAGTGTGACGTCCTCAGGGTGGTTGGTGTCAGTCATGCTCCTGTACCTACTGTAAATGTTTTGTGGGTAAAAATTTCAACGATTTAGCCTCAGTGCTCTCTACTCTGCCTCAGCACCATTCCTGTGACCACATATGGGCTCTATCGTAGCTCGTTTTGAAATCTTAAATTCTAATACTGATTCTTTTTCTAAGTTAGGAATGCCTGTCATTTTGTCAGTTGTCTTCTGGCTTAATTTCTTTCCCAAAATTTCCTTTCCTTTCTTGCTCATCACTGTTTTCTTTAATGTTCCCTTCTCCTTCTTTCACACCTGCTCATCAAAACTCTTAAACTTGGGGCAATTCTAAAACTCAACTTTTTTCCCATAATGTGGCTACCCAACATAGCTGGACAAAATCACATCTTTGGATTATATCCACTTTAATTCATGTTTCCAAGCTCAGATAGGTCCTTAGTGTTGTGTAGTAGTTCTGTGTGTCCTCTTAATTTTTCAGGCACCCTCCCACTCCTAGCAGATGACGTTGCATTTTATTTTACTGAAATATTTAAGACCATCAGGCAAGAACTCCTGCAGGTTCCTCTTCTCTCGCCTGTAATTTTTTCCATCTGCATCAGACCGTTCTTTACCTGTTCGTTGAATTCTGTCTTCACCTGTCTCCTGAGGGATCTTGCTCTGGGGGGAAGTGGAGTGATCCACTCCCCAGACCATGCTTCCATAACACCTGCTTGCTTTTTATGACCCTTTCCTATAGCTCGTAATCATCTTATAGTTAGTTCTCCCTATGACTGTATGCTGCCCAAAACAGCAGTGTGTCAGTTGAGTATTCTGCCACTTATATGCTATGTGACTGGGCAATTTATTTAACTCCTCCTTGACTCAGTTTCCCTATTGTAAAATGGGAAGAATGATAATATCTGAAGGAACTGTTAAGGAGGATTAAACGAACTAGCAATTGTAAGGAGCTTAGTAACTACAAAGAGTTTAGACCATTGCTTTAGATATGATAGTGTTACATAAGTGTGAAGTAGATCATTTATGGATGTTGATTATATAGTAAATGAATGAGCCATAGCTTTCTCTAATTAATATTTAATTAGGCAACAAATCCTGACAATTCTTGTTTTTCATTTTACATGCCACTAACTTTATTCCAGGCTTTTATTTATTCTCCATTGTTTTGTACCTCAAACATTGCTGCTTTGGTCTTTTCAGTCCTCAGAAACCTTCAGTCATTTCTAAGTATTATCTCATTTCCTTTGCTTGCATTCCTTTTTGTATTTTCCCAAAACTGCCATTCCAGTTTGCTCTTTTTTCTGAATCACTGACCTCCCATCAACCTAGAACAGCCGGTTGTGTGTTCCACAAACATATCCCCTGCTTTCCTGCTTCCATGCTTTTGTGCCTGTGTTCCCTTCAGCACTGAGTACATTTCCTTTTCATGTTGCTACCTTTGTGAATTAATCATAGATACTCAACCCCACTGTCTTGACCTAAAGGACACTGTGTCTTGTAGAAAATTACTTCTCATCTATAGTATTTCTGATGTACTTGTAAATCTGATTTCAACAGATTGATAAAGAATTGGCTAGTGGTGAATACTTTTTGAAGGCAAGTCAAAAGAAGCGACAGAAAATGGAAGCAATAAAGGTAAGATTGTGTAGCTTACAACATTACTGACAAGTTCATAGAAATTTGAATTCTTATTTAACTATAAATTGTGTTTTACCAATGTATTTGTTATTAATAATGCAGGCTAAACAAGCAGAAGCTCTCAGCAAAAGACAAAAGGAAAGAAACAAAGCTTTTATTCCACCTGAAGAAAAACCAGTCAGGAAACCTAAGGAAGGTAATACTTGTTTTCCTTCTCCTTGGCATGATGTAAAAATCTGTTAGCTAAAAAGGAGACCCATAGTTAATTTGTCTGATCTCTGAGTGTTGAACAAATAAATAACCATACCCCCCATCAGTTCTCTTAGCATTTCATTAGTCACTAGTCCTAGGGACAAGAGATGACTGAGCTCATTTATTTAGTAGCAGCTAATACTTATTTAAGAGTGTCCCAGATTGACAGTTCTCTTGGCTCCTGATCATGTTTGGGAAGAACTCTTTGTTGCTAAAGCTATGAACCAGAGCAGTGAAGCCCCTGTAAAAATAAAAATAATTAAAGTGGTGAGATCCCTGGGCTCTGCTGTTGTGCCTCTCAGAGAGTGCGTATCAGAAGCCAGGCTTTTCTTCTCTTTACTGTGTGACCTGTGGCTTAAAGTTTGATTCCTGTATTGTTGCCATGGATTCTTCATCAACTTGGGCTCAAGGACACCAACAAAATAACAGGAGGGTCTTACTTGAGTGCATGAAAAAGATACTCAGAGACAACACTCTTGTGCCTTTCTTCTCCATTCTTAGCCTCATCTTGATTAATATTTTCTTTCTCACTGGTAATCTTGTAACTCTTTCTAATCTAACTCTCCCAAGTGGCCAATGGCGCAGTGAAGGGAGAAGGGTAGCTAGGAAACCAGGAGCACTGCCCGTGGCTATTGGCCAAAACCAGATAGAACATTACTTTTTAGTATCTCATATTATATCACTGTTAACAGCTTTAAAAATAACTATATTCTGTGTAGATGATGGGTTATGTAGAAGTTTAAAAAGTCATAAGTGTTATAATTTCAGTTTGTGCAGTTTGTATAATCTGTCAGTTTTCTACTGTGGAGGCAGTTCAGTAGCTAGTTTAATCTCGTTACAGCTGTTAATGTAGGCTCCCCGCTGTAGTGGAGGCTTTAAATCTCTGCTTCCCAGGTTGCTTGGAATTTTGAATGGTGGTGTTTTATCTTGTGACTCTCCTATGCTCTGAATATTATTCTTTAATTAGTGAGAAAAGGTTACGTTTTTTTTCTCTGCTTCCTTTCTTTTATTCAAGCTTTTGGCATTAATTAGATGATTGGGTTCTGTTGTTAGGATCTCCAAATACTCTTTTTAGCAAAATAGTTATTCATTGAACTAATATTTATAAAACTTTGTTTTTATTTGGTATTAGGTATTGTAGATTTTGACCTTCATGTCTAGTTACTAAAATTACTCAAGTTAGAAGAGCTAATGTAATATTCATGAAATGTAATTTTAAATCATTTTAACATGCAAGATGGAAAATTGGTATATTAATGAGTATTCTAAAGTTCCAAAATAATGGAAAACAATATAAGTAAAAATAATCTAAGTGCAGCTTAAGGGGGAAAATGTAGTTGGTTCAACTAGGTAAAACTGTAATGCAATTTTCACGTATACTTTCACCAGCATCTTTTTAAAGTGCTTTATGATCTGTCTTCTCTTAGTTTGAAGAAATTCCTAACTTTCCTCTGTATTTTATAACATGACCTTTCATTTACAACAATATTCTGAAATTACTGTCCTAAATATATATAAAAAGTAAAGAATTGTGTATATTGTGTCTTTAATTTGTCTAGCTTCTACTGAAACTAAAATTGATGTGGCCACCATCAAGGAAAAGGTTAAGAAAGCAAAGAATAAGAAACTGGGAGCTCTTACAACAGAAGAAGTTAAGCTTAAAATGGAAGCAGATGAAAAGAAGAAGAAAAAGAAGTAATATATTTAAAAAAAAAACCCTGAACAAGAACTTATTAAGCTATCTCCTTTTGTAAAGGATTTTGAGATACTAGGGCATTATTTGCCTTTTCTGTGATAAGTATTACTCTGATCACTTTTTTTTGGTATCATTAATATACAATCACATGAGCAACATTGTGGTTACTAAAGCCCCCCATTATCAAGTCCCCACCGCATACCCCATAACAGTCACTGTCCATCAGCGTAGTAAGATGCTATAGTCACTACTTGTCTTCTCTGTGCCGTACTGCCCTCCCCGTGCAGCCCCCTATGTTATCTGTGCTCATCTGATCACTTTTCTCTGAGTTTGTTTTGTTCTTCATAATAGTGTTTATATGAACAGCTAGTCTTTATAAATAAATTACTGTATTCATGTGTCTCTTCAAAAAATTATACTAGTAAATGAAACATTTCTTTTTATATATTGTACCTAATCTCTTTGCCTTTACATAATTTTTTACGAGTAATTCTTTAGGTTGTTTATATAAACATTTTTGAACTGTGGCTATTGTAATTATCCATCAAATCCAGTGTCTGATGCCATTGGTTAGTCTTCAAATATAATCATGTCCCAGCTTTTGGTTTTGAGGAAAATAAATGCAGATTTTTTAGGTCTCTCTAATGATTAAAAGTATTTAGACTTAATTCTTTTTATCTCATTTTATGTTTTGTTCCAAGATTAAATAACCCATAAGCAAGCAAGGCCTCTTAAATCTCATAATTACTCTTTTCTGACCCTGGGGAAGAATAAACCAGAAACACATCACTTTGCAAGAAAGCAGAGAAAACCAGATGTTCAGAGTTGAAGCAGTAGAAATGTTTTTATGAATGGGCAGAGTACCTAGAAGCCCCTAAATCTAGCTCACTTGTTTTACAGATTGAGATGCTGAGAAACACAGGGACTGCGTTACCTACTCAGAGTCACAGTCGTGGCAGCCTGAAAACAGTACTTGTTCCCAGAAAAGTAGAAAGTAAAGATGAGTTTATCTATGGAGTTAGGAAGTCAAACAGTTTCTTCTGATTGAGGGTTTACTGCAACGACATATTTTTTATTCTGAAATATTTTTAAATTAGAAATACACCCAGCTTTTTTTTAACTATATGAATGAGTATGGTTTTTTTCCTAGATTTTATTAGTCCAGAAGGACTACATGAGGAATTTATGCTTGACCAAAATGGTAATTAGAACACTAAGTATTAGGATTGGTGAACTAACAATGAGGAAGAGAGATAAGTGTCTGTTGCGTGCAAGTATTGGCCAGTCTGGATACACGATGGAGTAGTAATCTGTAAAACAAACAAAATGTCCTCTTAAGCATAGTTTCTCATAATGCAGGAACATAATTCATATAGATCTTAAACAATTTAAGATTTGTACATACGTTTCACTTTGTCTCTCTCTGGGTTAACTGTGAAGTCAGAAGAAAGAAAAAATTAAAATAGTACTGGTGACTCATTTGTTTTATTTTAAAAGCTAAGACTGTTTATAACTGGTTTAAAACTCTATTACCTGTTTTTTTGTCTTCACTGCAGTGATTTTCAAGGTTAATTATTCAAAACTTTTTTGTACTAATTTGATAACTTTTAATTGACTTTTTACATAAACTTTTTATATACCACTACCATAGAAGGAAAATCAGGTAATACATACAATTAAAAAAAATATTAAAACATTAGAATTTTTTAAAGAATATTAGTAATACTCAATGTAAGCAGTTTTTTAAAAATATATCTTCCTGAAAATAAGCACCTCTGAGAAAAATATTACTTGTGATCAGTCAGTAATAAAGAGACAGTGGTCTCTCACCCATCCCAGAATGTCATTAAATTATCAGTAGGGCATTTGGCTATCATACAGTCATTAACTCCTTTCTTTTCACTGAGCTTTATTCGAATTTTGACATTCAGCACACTGGAGAAAATTCCCCATCTACCTTAGGCTTCTTACTTTTGTTAAAAGACACCTTTTCCACACCAGTGTAAGCCAGCTGCTGCTGGAGTCCCATAGTGGACCCATCAAGGAGCTGACCCTGTACTTGGGAGCATCCATGGGCATCATCGCCGTGACTAGGCTTTGTCTGTGGTGAACTGCCATGAAGATGCTGCTACCTGAACTTCTGGCAGTTACATCCATGAAATCAAGGATGTGCTGTGCTAGTTACATTTGTTCTTACGTATGTATTTTTAAATGTTAAATATTCAGCTACTGAATGTTGAAGCAAATGCATGTGCTAGCGAAATCATCTTGTGTGCCATCAGTTCTGCAAAACTGTTCTGATTTGGCTTCCATGGATATTTATTGAACCTACCAACTGTTACCTAGAAGACCACAACATTTTTTCCTCCAGGTCTGCCATAATCTGTCAGAGATGGGATCTGTCAAATAAAAGCTTTTATCCTTAAAACTTAACCCCATGCGAGTAATGCCTGTGTCTTCCCTTACCTTTCTTCAGAACTCAGTGGCTTTTTGTTATTGACCTACTAAGAAAAATCTTTGTTTTCTGATTTATCCAAGATTACAGGCCATCTCAAGCTGGATCTCCAAGATCAAAAGTCTGAACTCCAGCAATTTTCTTCTTGTTATCAGTGTGATCATGTGGTTTTTACTAATTATCTAGGTTTTTAAAGGGAAAGAATGATTTTTTTTTAGGAAACCAGCTCTCAGATTAGTGCTTATTTGCTGGCCAGACTAGGCACTTTGGATACGAAGGTGAATTTAGAGCCCAGTTGGAAAGACAACTAAACAGGTAAAGGTTAAATTACTCTTTAAATAATTTTAAATAATTATCTCAGTTTTCATCACTGATTTTAAAGCAGCATCATTCTTGTTCATGGTCATAAAACCTTATCACCTAAAAGTTTGGACATAAAACACTTAAGAGTAAACTCAAGATTTGGCATTACAGGGAGGATGAATTTGGGGGTTACAGTATTTGAGTGCTGTTATATGACAGACCCTTGTTCTAAGTACAAATTTTTTCCCTATTTTTTTTACCAAATCTGTGAAGAGGTAGTCATCTATATTTTATTGTTTAGGAATTAAGTCCCAACACTTGCCCAAGAACACAGCAGTGAAACTGGAAATTGAACTCAGGCATACTGTTTATGAAATGTTTTAATTCATGTTATACTGCCTAACTTGGAAAATAAATAAATAGCATGCTTTTTAGTGTTGCAGCAATATGAGAGGCAAAATTCAGTTAATACATTGACACTCTGAGAAGAAATTCCCTTGCATTGTGGCTACATATTATCATTATCAAGTTCAACTAAGACGACTGACGTGAGTGAAATAAACAATAAACTGGGAGACATGACCACTTAGAAAGCTGGTCACAGTAGTGTTGCTGTACGTGGAATAAAGATGAGAATGCCACATATGCAAATCAGAAGGGAGCAAGCAGTTTAAAGGAAATGTGTAGTTTGCATCCTGGAAGGGACCTCCAAAAACGTGCAAGCATTGGTACACTTGCCAAACAAAATCTGTGCAGTTAAACGCAGTCCATTCTGTCCCTCTATTCGAAGCATCCCTCCCCAGAACAAAACAGTTTTGCTAAGAAGTTTACTAAAATATCCTTGGAAACAGCCTTTAGACTTTTCCTCATTAAATGCTATTTTGCTAATAAAAAGTGCCACATTGAAGCTTTATTCCATTTGTGTAGTTCCACACATGAAAATGCAAGACTTGGGTGCCTTGGACAGGTGGTAGCACAAAATTCAGAATTCTGATCTTTCAGACATACACATTATACAAATTTTGATCTTGCTGAAATTAGCAAATCTTGGGTCTATAGTTTTCCAACCCCATAGTCATTTCCAACCCCATAGTCATTTTTTGTTGTACTGATGAGAACTAAATAAAAGGGGTATTTGCTTTCCTAATTGTAAGCATACATATTCATTCTAGGACAGAAAACCATTGGTTTGCTACCTGATGCCAGCTTCCCAGAAAATACTATTAGGATAAAAATGTGCATTCTTAACTCTACAGAAAGTTACAATAGTTTAGAACACATTGTATTATAAGCAGATTGTTCCTTTTACTCACCGCAGAGATTGTCCAAACATTTGTCACTACTGGGGCAAGCACTGCAAGTGGATCCTTTTTTATATGGCCAAGTTGGGTAATTTCCTCTATAAGGTAGAATAAAGCTGTCCATTAAGAGGGACTTTTTTTTTTTTTGCAATTGAAATTTACTATGAATCCTTGACTAAATCTATAAACTGGAAGTCCACAGATTCAGAGGGTTCATAAGGGAAGTGCAGAGAGGGAAGCAGAAATGGAAGCCTGTTAATATTTACAGAGTTCTGTGTGCATATATCTGTAAACCTATGTCTTAATCTATATAATCTTACTTAATTCTAAAACAACCTGGAAGAATAACTTCTTTTTTACATATAAGAAAACTTAAAAACTCAAAGAAATGTAGCAATTTGCCAAAAATCACAATGTAATTTTCATAACTATGTAAAAGCAGTAGGTGCTATTACTATCCTGATCTTTTAGAGAGGAAACAGATTCAGAGACATTAAGTAAGTTGTCCAAGGTCACAGAATAAACAAACTAAGGTACAGTAGGTGTCCAGAGCCTGTATTTTAACCATTAGGCTATAAATGTCATGAGAAGTTACCACAGATTGATTTTGGCTTTTTTTGGGGGCTGGTTTCCCTTATTTTCTCATTCTTGGATCTTAAATCGAAGCTGTTTTCCTTTTTTTTTTATTACAGAAAATTATATGAGAAAACTATGTAAAACACAAAGGATATGCAATGCTTGGCACTGCGGATGGTTTGAGAAGTATCTGTAACTATTGTTCTAATGGTACAAAATCCTGGTTTAGACCCAGTTCATCTTCAGAGCTGTGAATAATATGGAATTGTAAAACATAATGAGTTATAATGCTTCTAACAAAGATTAACGTTTATCCATACAAATTTTATATACAATATTCATACAAATTCATGTTTTTAATTATTCACCAAAAATTTTTTTTACTGAGCTTCAAAGGAGAATGAGCTAGACACAGTCCTTTTCCTTGTGGAATTTTTATTTATGAGGCAGATAGACAACAAAAATACAAATAAAATAACTGCACTGTGGTAGGAGTAAATGAACTATAAAATAAGGTCATAGACACTATGAATAGACAGGGCCCTTATTTGAGATACAATGATCAGGTAAGGGCTTTCTGTGATAACTGATCTTAGTCCCCTCACTCCCAGCCAGACTCAGTCAGACTATAAAATATCTCTTCTGAACATTAGGGAAAAAGAGGTTTCTTCTAACATATCTCTTCAAGAATCACAAAGATGGGTAAAATTCAAACAAAATTCAAGGACAAGAAAAATTATATCACAAAGAATTAGAAGCTTTCAAATATAAACAATTATAATAAGTCATTAGGAAAATCACTTTAGTAGAAAAATAAGCAGAACATATAATTCACAAAAGAAGGAATGTATATGTCAATTAAGTAAAATTTAAAATTACTAGGAATCAAAAAGATGCAAAAAAAACCCCAGGAAATGCCATTTTATATTAGAAAATATTGAAAAATTATAAAATTCAGTACTGATGAGCAAGTATAAATGGATGTAATATAGTGGAGGGTAGATTTCTGGAAGAAAAAGATGGCAGAGTAGGAAGACAAGGTGGAAACTTCCCAAAAACTCATAAAACATGAAAATACAGCAAATACAACTAAACCTGAAAATGACCTGAAGTCTGCAGAACAGACTGCTTACATCTGCAGAAGAGACGACCTCACAAAAAAGGGTAAAGTGGCAAAGCTGCCAACCAATGGGACCCAAGCCCTCCCCTGACCCCAGCCCATAGGCAGGAGAAAGAGGAACAGCTGGGAGAGGGTAGGAGTCCAGGATTGCTGAACACCTGGTCCTGGAGATCTGCTCTGGGAGCACGAGCCCACATTACACAGGATTCTGATGATTAGTGGGGCTGGACAACAAGGACAGGTGGAACACCTGGGGAGGCTGAGACCCCAGCCTCCTGTGGAGAACAGACATGCCCAACCAATCCCCCTGCGTGAAAAGCAAAGTCGGCAGTTTGAAGGATTTCCCAGTAGCAGGACGGGTGCCAGAGGGGTGAGTTTTGGAAGGAGCTTTCTTCTCAGGAGAAAGGACAGGTGGACAATACCTCCCGAGCCCACCCTCAGCCCAACAGTTAGGGAACTCTCAGGAGCCCCAGACACTCCATCCTGCTTGCTGGCAACACAGCCCCCGGCTCCTCCCTGAGCACACGGCTGACAGACAACTGACTTGACCTAGCAGTAGTGTCAGACTTTGCTGCCTGCAAAGCAGAGGGAGACTTTCCCAGATTTCTCAGCTCCACTTCAGCCCGACAGGGCAGCTGGCCCCCAGCGCCAGTCCCAAGAGCTCCTTCCTCCCCATGGGTGTCCAAGCCGGGTGCTGCACATCAGGCTTGGGCTGAGCTGCACATCTGCCTGTCCACCCCATTAAACCTGCAGCCCCCCCATTGCTGCAGGTCAGGCAGAGGGCAGCCCACCCACAGCAATTCCAGCAGAGGCATCTGCGCTGATCACAAAGGCATAGCCAAAGCAAACTGCCTACCTAGAATCATACCACCCCAAACCAGACAGAAAGGTGGCCCTGCCCACTACATGCCAACAGCTGGGGTTCCCCACACAAAAGCAAAGAATAAGAAACTGGGAGCTCTTACAACAGAAGAAGTTAAGCTTAAAATGGAAGCAGATGAAAAGAAGAAGAAAAAGAAGTAATATATTTAAAAAAAAAACCCTGAACAAGAACTTAATAAGCTATCTCCTTTTGTAAAGGATTTTGAGATACTAGGGCATTATTTGCCTTTTCTGTGATAAGTATTACTCTGATCACTTTTTTTTGGTATCATTAATATACAATCACATGAGCAACATTGTGGTTACTAAAGCCCCCCATTATCAAGTCCCCACCGCATACCCCATAACAGTCACTGTCCATCAGCGTAGTAAGATGCTATAGTCACTACTTGTCTTCTCTGTGCCGTACTGCCCTCCCCGTGCAGCCCCCTATGTTATCTGTGCTCATCTGATCACTTTTCTCTGAGTTTGTTTTGTTCTTCATAATAGTGTTTATATGAACAGCTAGTCTTTATAAATAAATTACTGTATTCATGTGTCTCTTCAAAAAATTATACTAGTAAATGAAACATTTCTTTTTATATATTGTACCTAATCTCTTTGCCTTTACATAATTTTTTACGAGTAATTCTTTAGGTTGTTTATATAAACATTTTTGAACTGTGGCTATTGTAATTATCCATCAAATCCAGTGTCTGATGCCATTGGTTAGTCTTCAAATATAATCATGTCCCAGCTTTTGGTTTTGAGGAAAATAAATGCAGATTTTTTAGGTCTCTCTAATGATTAAAAGTATTTAGACTTAATTCTTTTTATCTCATTTTATGTTTTGTTCCAAGATTAAATAACCCATAAGCAAGCAAGGCCTCTTAAATCTCATAATTACTCTTTTCTGACCCTGGGGAAGAATAAACCAGAAACACATCACTTTGCAAGAAAGCAGAGAAAACCAGATGTTCAGAGTTGAAGCAGTAGAAATGTTTTTATGAATGGGCAGAGTACCTAGAAGCCCCTAAATCTAGCTCACTTGTTTTACAGATTGAGATGCTGAGAAACACAGGGACTGCGTTACCTACTCAGAGTCACAGTCGTGGCAGCCTGAAAACAGTACTTGTTCCCAGAAAAGTAGAAAGTAAAGATGAGTTTATCTATGGAGTTAGGAAGTCAAACAGTTTCTTCTGATTGAGGGTTTACTGCAACGACATATTTTTTATTCTGAAATATTTTTAAATTAGAAATACACCCAGCTTTTTTTTAACTATATGAATGAGTATGGTTTTTTTCCTAGATTTTATTAGTCCAGAAGGACTACATGAGGAATTTATGCTTGACCAAAATGGTAATTAGAACACTAAGTATTAGGATTGGTGAACTAACAATGAGGAAGAGAGATAAGTGTCTGTTGCGTGCAAGTATTGGCCAGTCTGGATACACGATGGAGTAGTAATCTGTAAAACAAACAAAATGTCCTCTTAAGCATAGTTTCTCATAATGCAGGAACATAATTCATATAGATCTTAAACAATTTAAGATTTGTACATACGTTTCACTTTGTCTCTCTCTGGGTTAACTGTGAAGTCAGAAGAAAGAAAAAATTAAAATAGTACTGGTGACTCATTTGTTTTATTTTAAAAGCTAAGACTGTTTATAACTGGTTTAAAACTCTATTACCTGTTTTTTTGTCTTCACTGCAGTGATTTTCAAGGTTAATTATTCAAAACTTTTTTGTACTAATTTGATAACTTTTAATTGACTTTTTACATAAACTTTTTATATACCACTACCATAGAAGGAAAATCAGGTAATACATACAATTAAAAAAAATATTAAAACATTAGAATTTTTTAAAGAATATTAGTAATACTCAATGTAAGCAGTTTTTTAAAAATATATCTTCCTGAAAATAAGCACCTCTGAGAAAAATATTACTTGTGATCAGTCAGTAATAAAGAGACAGTGGTCTCTCACCCATCCCAGAATGTCATTAAATTATCAGTAGGGCATTTGGCTATCATACAGTCATTAACTCCTTTCTTTTCACTGAGCTTTATTCGAATTTTGACATTCAGCACACTGGAGAAAATTCCCCATCTACCTTAGGCTTCTTACTTTTGTTAAAAGACACCTTTTCCACACCAGTGTAAGCCAGCTGCTGCTGGAGTCCCATAGTGGACCCATCAAGGAGCTGACCCTGTACTTGGGAGCATCCATGGGCATCATCGCCGTGACTAGGCTTTGTCTGTGGTGAACTGCCATGAAGATGCTGCTACCTGAACTTCTGGCAGTTACATCCATGAAATCAAGGATGTGCTGTGCTAGTTACATTTGTTCTTACGTATGTATTTTTAAATGTTAAATATTCAGCTACTGAATGTTGAAGCAAATGCATGTGCTAGCGAAATCATCTTGTGTGCCATCAGTTCTGCAAAACTGTTCTGATTTGGCTTCCATGGATATTTATTGAACCTACCAACTGTTACCTAGAAGACCACAACATTTTTTCCTCCAGGTCTGCCATAATCTGTCAGAGATGGGATCTGTCAAATAAAAGCTTTTATCCTTAAAACTTAACCCCATGCGAGTAA